AAAAAAAATCCTCAATAATTGTCGCACTCATTTGTCGCCCAGCATGTCTTCTCATTCACACGGGCTCCCACTATGTCCTCTCACTCTCCCTCTGTTTGCGTGGACAAGCGTTTCGTTATTGCATCGTCGGCTTCGATACGGCCCCTCTTTTGTCCATGAATGCCGCATTCGGATCCGTGTGCTAATTCTTCATTCCTTGTTGAAGTTGACTCGTCTCTGTAGGCAGCATTGTTCTCGTTCGCTTTTCTCGTACGTTCCTCACTCTGAGGCACCCATAGTTGGACTGGTGTTCCCTTTGTCCCTGCTAAAGTTCATCAATTACTAATAATTGGTGACACCGCTCTTTTGTTGTTCAATCAATAATTGAAGTCGGTCGTGTTGGTTTTAATTGCGGTCATGGGACAGTGGTAGCGAACAGTTGGTATGTTGTCCAAACGGTCGTCACTACTACCTACTATAGTGTACCATCCTGGGATCTTGGAAAAATGAAGAAGGCAGACGTTTCCAACTTTTTGGAGAACAGCGATGCCGACGACCAGGTCACATTCTTCCGATGGATAGGATAGCACTATCAAGGCGAGAAAATACACGCACCTTCGAAATACTGCACAAACACTCAAAATATCAAGCATGAACACGAGTGGGAAACGATGGAGATAACGATCCCTATAGGGAAAGCTATGAAGATGAAGAGACTGTTGAGGACATGATTGACGAGCTTCAAGAGTTGGATAGAGAGTCCGAACCAGAATTCCTCCCGCTCGTTATACTCTACAATGTAGTATGTGTATCCACTTGCATTTGCCGTTTTATACTCTCGCAGGACAATGAAAGGACGCGCTATATGTAGGATACGTCAACTTCCGCCTATTCTCTGTGGGGAGTGTTTCATTTTATGTGTTTATACCGTGAAAATCGACAAGTAAGGTGAACGAGAAAGTGAACAAAGCGTAGAGAACGATTCTGCGAATGGTCGTCTAATGGAGGGAAGGGGAAAAGAGTTGATACTAGAGAATCAAAAAGGAAATATCGTCTTGACAATGCGTGTCTTCCCCAGGCTTTCCACATCATCTTGGTCAAAGAATAATCTGCTGAAAGTGCCTCCTTGAATTTTTGTGGCCCTAATGAGTGTCTGCGCCTCCGAGTTCATTGAGGCAGTGAGGACAAGGTAACAAGAAAGAGCAAAAAAAGAGGGAGAGGGAGGGATTTGAACCCACGACTGCATTGAAGCAGACTGCATGATAGTAAACTGTAATGACTTGGGTTGCAGCGCCTTAGACCACTCGGCCACCTCTCCTTGTGAAGTTGTCGATGGGGGGGGGGGTTTTTTTTAGAAGTCAAAACGGTAATATCACGGGGCTATTTGACATCGCCATAGGGGTTTGTAAAAGGCAACGTTGAGGGAAGAAATAAAATGACCTATGAGCACGGAAGACCAATCCTTAAGAAAGGCACTAGCCAGGATCAAGGCGGTCAGGTAACCATACCGGGCGATATGAATGAACCGGGAAAAACTTCACGGAAAATACGGGAATTGAGCGAGGAGCAACTGTCAGCAAAACTTGAATGAGACGCTACGATCGATATGGACAGCTACACCAAGGGAACGCGGCCTGGCCATGCGTAGATCCTTGTTAGATGTGTATCGACTCGTCATATTCCCAGAAGCGGAAGAGGATGTCCATCCTGGAACAGAGTTATCGTCTGATTTTCTACTCAGATGGCTCGGTCAAGAACTCAGGCAAGCAAGATGTCTGCTGTCCTTCATAGTCGTCGTCAAAGCCGAGCAGAGCAAGAGAAGACGTTCACTACCTTAATGACCGGAAAAATAGACGGAACCTGCTCATCAAACAAAAGCAGAGCTTGGTCGGACTTTTCGCAATGATTCTCCTGTGTCCTCGAGAGGCAAAGGCGACGGTTTACTCGACAATATGGCTGTCGTGGACAACTTTCAAACTCCTGTTGTGAATCGGGAATTGGCAGCTGAGCGGCAACGGATCCGATCAAGCTATCCGACTTGGTGGGCACGCGCGTATGATTACCAGGGTGGGGAAGTCGAGGTCAAGTGGGTCAAAGGGCACTATGGGACGACGGGAATGAAGAACCTGATAAAGCAGCTGATGACGGCCACTTCAGGGACTCTTGGGCACTGGATCCATCAAGACAAACGGACCTGCCTGCCACGTTTGTTCCAAGGAACAGTAGTTGTCGCCGATCTGCGGGAGGTGCTAAAAAAGCAATCAACAGCCAGGATTCATCACCGATGGGTGACGCAAGGGCGGACGAAATTCTGGGTCAAATATTACAAGGATGTGGAGTGTATAATGACAGCCGCCATAATCCACAACCGCCAGTCCCCCTGAGGAGCGTTCGCCAGCGAAGTCGATTGCAGCCGATGTGATTAAGAGAGATTAGATGCGTGTGTACAAAAGGCCCCATGCAACACTTGGCGATCAATCAGCATCATCGACTCTTGGCAACAGCCTTCCCATATATAGTCATATCATTGTAACAAAGATCATCATTGATTGCTCCAACTCTGTCTCCTGCTTGTCCTTGTCCTTGTCCCTTGTCTCCACTCTTGTATCCCTCCTCTGTGCCTATTACACCCCATGTGCAGCATGACCCATTTGGGTGATCAATGGCGCGTGATTTGGGATTGTGAAAAAGACTGCAGGAGGAAACCGTCCTTGGACGGGGACTGAGTTAGTGCACAAGCATTTTATTATATTGTTCTACTTGTCACACTTACAGGCAACATAATATAAACTCCACGCCAGTGAGGGACCTTTCATTTTTTTTTAAAAAAAAACGACCACTCGGCCTGGTAGGCTCCCAACGTTATGTGCCAAGGGAAGCGAACGAGTTTCCTCATAGCGACTTTCAGGTCTTTGAAGGTGGAGCACGCATAGACCATATTGGCAACTATGGTATACAAGGCAGCAAAGGAAACCCTGTAGGGAGAGTCGTTGGCCGTAAGGGACGGAAACCAGAAGAAGAGGTGGCCTTGAAATATGTCGTCCGCGCAGCAGAAAAGACTTACAAACGAGCGGTGAGACTGCGGGACGAAGACTTCGCGTGGAGACGGACAAGTGAGGTGGATCGACTAGAAATGGAACAGAACTGCTACCACGAAACCACAGGACCACACCCTTTGGCACCCTGAGCGTCTTTTGCCAAGAAGTCCCCTTCCAAGGCAGCAACAATAAGAGCCTTTGAGTCTTTTTCGCATTACACGTTCGATGACTGACCACGACCTAAATGCAGGGTACCACAACATAGAGCTCAAAAATAAAATAGACAAATGGTCAACATCCCCAATTCTCGTCTCTCTGGCCGTGTACCCTCGAATTTTTCTTGAGTTCTCATGAAATTTTCTTTGTGCGACCAAGATTGACAATGAGGCATTTTCGCTGCCCTTAATCGGCACCCCTCCGAATCCATCCGGACGAAGGGATTCCTCAATTAGATAACATTCAATAACATAAATACGCATAATTGCTCGCCTTTTCTAATTGACCACACTTCCCACTTGTAACTAACAGATCTTATGGCGGTTGCATGCCACACACAAAACTTCACTACCGCGCCGCAGGCAGATCTCTATGCCCGCTTTGCTTTTGCTGGCGCAATCAGTTGCAGCGTCACCCATGGTGTGCTCACTCCTGTCGGTATGTCACGATCCATGCTGTTTCTTCATCCTGTCACGTTCATTCCACCGCTGCTCTGACCAGTCAATCATTTGCATATAGATGTCGTCAAGACACGCATCCAGCTTGATTCTGCTACCTACAATAAGGTAATGGCGGTCCTTGACTTGTGTTCCTTCTGAAGTCATGTTTTCGATCAGCCTTGAGAGGCAAGTGAGCTGTTCTAGATTTTAATCTACTAAATACACGGCACATAGGGCATGGTGGCCTCCTTCCGTCAGGTGGTCAAATATGAGGGGGCCGGCGCACTGATGACCGGGCTCGGCCCCACGCTCGTGGGATATTTTGTGCAAGGCGGTCTGAAGTTCGGCGGCTACGAGTTCTGGAAAAAGACGCTCTTTGGCTGGGTCGGCCCTGAGAAGGCCGTTAACAGAAGAACTGCGATCTATCTTGTTGGCGCCGGCATCGCAGAATTCGTCGCGGATATTGCGCTCTGTCCACTCGAGGCTGTGCGAATCCGGATGGTCTCCGAGCCCAGTTTCGCGAAAGGCCTCATCACGGGCTTTAGAAGCATTCTCAGGGAGGACGGCATCGTCCGCGGGTTCTACAGCGGGTTCGCCCCGATTGTGTTTAAACAGGTTCCGTACAGCATGTGCAAGTTCGTCGTCTTTGAGCATGTCTCAGACGCAATCTTTAACACTGCCGGCGGCAAGAACGACCTCTCTGCGGGCCGCCTGACCGTAATTAACCTGGGCTCTGGTCTCATTGCAGGAATGGCTGCCGCTGTTATCTCCCACCCGGCCGATACCCTCCTCTCCAAAGTCAACAAGACGTCGGGCACTGGTTCTATCCTGTCCCGTCTTGCTGGCCTGACTAGCGAGCTTGGTGTCCGTGGCCTCTTCTTGGGATTGGGTCCCCGAATCATCATGGTCGGTTCCCTCACTGCTTTCCAGTTTGCCATCTATGGCGACATCAAATCGGCTCTCGGTGCCACGGGTGGTTTCGAGATCC